CGACTATTGTGGTGGTATTCTTGCTTTTCTCGCCTAACTGGTGAGTTACTGTACCTTCGCCATTTTATTCTTATGCATCTGTGACTTGTGTCCATGATTCTGTGTGTTTAAAGTGTCATTTTCTCAAGCATGATTCTATGTGTTTAAGGCTTATTTCTCGAGCATGACTCTGTCAATTACATGTTTGAATGAGTCCTTTTAGTTCTCTAATTAACACTGTTGGTTCTGAAACTACTTGTTTTGAATAATATGAATCCTCTTAAGTGTTTATCTTAATACCTTCTAATCTTTTTCTTGTATGCTATTTCGTTAGTTCTGCACATGCCTTGAATTCCAAGTAACCTCTTATGGTAACACTAGAATACTTGTTAGTTCACATATTTCTGAGCCTTTTATGGAGTTTGTCTTGATATGTCTGATCAATGTTGAACCTATGTTCTGTCACTCATGTATCCTGATAACATGTCTTTTAGCATGTCTTTAATTCATTTGATTCCATATGATTGTGTGACTCTTGGGTAAATAACTCATGCTTTCATACTATGTATGAATGCTGATGGTGAGTAAACACAGCCTGTCCTAAAATATTAGCATGTACACCTAGCCTAATTAGGCCGTTCAGGCTTTAACTTATCAAGTACTATGCATCTGTGCATAAACAACTTTGAAAATCTTGCCAATTTGTCTTAATACAATTCTACCTATATGTATTTTGTGCTTTAGAACTCTGTTATGATGGCTTTTTCCTAAAATCAAACATGTTTTAAATTTTTTCCTTTACCATTGTCTCCTTATGTGCGGTTGCCTTGAACTCCTAATCTTATATCCTTTAGGTTCTCTCCTTCACCTCCTCAGTGTGAGCACTGCTCGGGGTCTATGTGAGACTCTTGTGAACTCTGACATACTGGGGTTGGTTTCCAATTTCCTTTAAACTATTTCAGAGTATTTGTTCTTTAGTGTGAGCATTGCCCTGGGCTCTTGAAGCCCTTGGGAACTTTGACACACTAGAGATCTGGGTTCTATATGCTATGGGTGAATCATTCACTACTGATTATTGTGTACCTGTGAAAGTGAGCCTTTGAGCTGTTATGGGTCGAAGGCCTAGGCTATCCAGGTGCATTTGGGCCTACTGCAGGCTTCTTACAGTTATATACTTTGTAATTGATTCATTCGATTATGGTCTGTAACAAGTATTTGTAATAACAATTGGGGCAATAGTGAATAGGGAAAACTGGGCTTAATTTCAATGAGAATGGGTAGAAAACCTGCCAATAGGTGTCTGTTCCTTTCAAATATTTTCTGCTACTATATGTTAGATATTGTAAGGCCCCGTGAAAATTTTTACTCAAAAAGCCGAAATCTCGTAGTGCCTAGTTAGGAATATGTGTTAGAAATTTATAACACATATTGATTGATCTGTGCATTAAAAAGTTAAGGAAAAACGTTTTTCAGAAGAGCGCGTTTCTGCGGCCCATTATGCGACCGCATAATAGCAATGCGAGCCGCATAACTGTCGCAGAGTGAGGCAGAATGTTGGCTAATTTGAGGACAATTATGCGGCCAAATTATGCGATCGCATAATCGATATGCGGGCCGCATAGTCGTCGCATAACCTCCTTGGGATTTTTGCGAAGGGCAGTTCTGCGGTGCATTATGCGACCGCAGAATAGGTATGCGGACCGCATTTTGGTGGCATACTCGGGCAGAATGTTCAAGTCTTGAGGGCCATTTTTGCGGTCCCTTTGTGGGCCACATATCTGTTATGCGGTCGCATATGCGACCGCAGATTGAGTTGGGGCTCCAATTTTGTAACTTTTAAAACCCGACCACATCTCACTAAAAACACCACATTAGACCCTTTTGTGCTATTTTCTACTACATTTAGAGTGAGGGAAAGTGTTCTAGAGGGAGGAAGCGATCCTCACCAAGTCTCTACCCCAAATCTTTGAAGATTATCAAGTAAAGTTACTAAACCTTCATCCTAAGAGGTAAGAACTTGCGTCCTAATCTTTGATTTTGAAATTTCTACTAAAATGAGTAATTAACAAGTGGGTTCAGGGGTATTAGGATTGATTATCTTGCATGCATGAATGATAAAAGGGTAAGGGGAGATTGTGAGCTAAAAATGTAACAAATGGGTTGTAGGATGATAAAATCTCTCACAAAAAGGTCTTAAAATCACAATGCACCTTAGTGCTTGATAATGTGCCCAAATGAGTTAGAGTCTTGATTATCCCTCTAATTTTTGGTTCAACTTGTAATTCTCATAAAATTGATCGAAGTTGCTAGGAGTTCCAGAATTATTGTAAAAATTTAAGGAAAGCTGTATTCAGGTATGTATGGCTAAAAACCCTCTCTTCTTAGAAATTGAGCTCCTTTAGTGTCCATGCAAATGTTGTAAGACCGAAATTTGATTGTTGTATTGATGGTTATTTCACATGAATTGGTGTTGCAAATATATATAAGTGAAAGGTGTGTCTCAATGTGTTTAATATACTATTCTTGGTAATTTAAGGATGTGTGAAGAATGTGAACCATGTGTTAAAATGCCTAGATGTCAAGTCAAGTTTAAATTGAGATTGTTATGCAAAACTATGTGAAATCTTCTCTATTATTCAAATCGCAAGGGTAATGTTGAAAGTGGAAATGATGTGAAATGTGGGAGGAAAAGAGTTTGAGTTATGAAATGTGGCCTAGTGCCAAGTATGATGTGAAAATTGTGGCCCCAAGTGCTGATGAACTGATATATGTGAAATAAAGATTGAAATGAGATGATTGATGAAAAAGGAAAAAAAATGTCTTGGCAAGACGGCCTAGCCGATCGGGCCGTGATCGGACACCACGCCGCACACATGGTGGTATTGTGCTGATATTGAAACCGAAAAGTGAGAATGAGATTGTGATTGAGATACATGCCTCAAATGAGGCAACCTAGCCGATCGGATGTGATCGGACTCCGCGCAAGAAAGCGGTGGTATTGTGAATGATGATGAACAGTTTTAAATGTCTCAACCTAAAGCTATGGAAATTATGTGAAAGCTATATGATCCTTTTATTTGACGACATGGTGATTGTTTAAAGATTTGATTGATCTTTATGATTTCTTTATTCTTGTATGATAGTTCTTTATAATGAGATGGTGTTTAGTTATACATACTAGTACTATTCCATGGTACTAACGTCCTTTTGCCGAGGGCGCTACATCTTTGAATGGATGTAAGTGGTTCCATAGCAGACAGTGCCAATCGCAAGATAGCAGAGCATCCTCCTCTCAGCAATCTTCGTGAGCCCCTTTTCTTGTAGGGGGTTATGTAGTGTATCTTTTGTTATAATTAACCACTTTTGAGGTATAGTTGGGGCTTTGTTGCCGGCATTATCATAACTGTCTTTTGTATCTTTAGAGGCTCCGTAGACGTTTGTGTGGGTTATGTACGGGCGATGGATGGGTCACTGGACTATGTTGTAATTCTAAACTCTAGTTCTTTTAAACTATAACTGTATGAAATCATGGAGTCTTAACGATGGTTTAAGGGTTGTAATAAAATAAACTAACAACGTTGCATGGACGATCTTTGCTACTGTCTAAATAAATGAAAGCATAGTTTCTTGATCATAGTGAGTTGGGTAGAAAGTGTCCAAAAGGCTTGCTTAGTTGGGTTTACTCGATTGAGCGCCGGTCGCGCCTCCCGAGGTTGGGGCGTGACAGATATCCTGCCTATTGGTTTATATGTTCAGTAGATAACATGCCTATATGTGTTTATTTCATTCGATACGTTCTGCTACTGTGTTTTAGAGAACCTGCCTATAGGATTTAATTTGTTCAACAAGTTCTGATTCATGATTTATTAGATATCATGCCTATAGGATCAAAACAAGTAATTCTGAACATTCTTCATGTCTCATACCACTGCACCTAGATACCATGTCTATAGGAAATACAATAATCAAATTCAAACCTGTTCGCTTGGAAATCATGTCTATAAGCTTAATCAATTTTTATGATCGCTTAGCTAATATGCATATCCTTAGGAGGCAATGAACAGGCAATCACCAAAGGCAGAACTCACGCTCATAGGGATAATAGCCATTTCTGTCAAATGCTAAAACGAGAATCCTGCATGAATGCTTTGCTAACTACCACTAGAAAGCATGTCTATAGGAATAACTAATAATTCTGAGCTTTTCTGTTATCAATCGTCACTTAGATAACTTGCATGTAGGTTCAAGTGCTCTAATTAAAATCAGTAGTCAATTACAGGATCACTCAGAAATTACTGTCAGCATGTTTAAAAATCCAGAATCACGTTGAAATTTATCTATAGGATCTAATACCCTTAACTGATTAAACTGTCAACACGCCAATGTGTTTTGCCTGCATTTGCCGCCTTATGTGCGGAGGCTAAGTTGAGCCTTTATCTACTCTTGCATGAAAAGTCCAATGTATTTTGTATGTCACTTAATTTTAAAATTTTAAGCAACCTAAGCTGAGTCTAGAACCATCCCAAATAGAGGTCCTAATGTATTTTGTATGTCACTTAGTTTTTAATGGAGGTACGGAGAAAGAAGGAGAGCATTTTTAAATGGATGTTTTTTATTTCTTCAAAGTATAAGAAAATGTTAATAGACACATGGCGTCCACAACGTCATTTTAATAGATGGGTCCATACATCCACAAGAGTACCATTAAAAATAGGGATAGATTTGAATATTTTGCTTCGGTAAAAAAATATATGTCCCTACAGCATATTGGAGGTTAAATATAAACAATATTTAAAAGTAGAAGGATAAATCTAAACATTTTTTATCTATAAAAGAACGACATTAATATTTTATACTTAATGAAATATTCTTAACTTTTACTTTTTTGTTTTACCTTTAATGAAAATCTTCTATAGTTACAGAAATTATCATAACATGTTTAAAGCCACACATTCTATAGTTACTTTTTATGTGTGCCAAAAGTCAAATACCATTGGGAAAATTAAACAAAAGTAGTAATATTTTCATACTGAGTTTTTAACGTTTTTGAATAAAATCACGCTGCAACCATTTCACATGAACGTTCTTAATAACTGAAATGGCAAATAAATAGAAATAAAGAGAATGAATAAGTTGGCCCCCTACCCCTAAGGGCGCAGTTATTGTTTTCCCTGTTTTTAATAAGAGAAAAGCAGAACAATCAAAGATAAGCCTGAATAACAGATTGAACAGCATCAATGTGGTTGATAGTGTGTCTACTGAATCCAGCTGCACTCAGAACGTAGGCCCATTCTTTGGCAGTTCTTTCTTTTCCGTTGCTTGTGTGAGCCATCATAACCATATCCAACATCAAACCCACATCCTTGAGCTTGTCGTCCTCTTTTCTTTCATCTCCTTTTCCAATCACTGCCTCCACAATTATCACTTTTCCTGTGTCTTTTGGAATTGCCTCTCCACACTTTCTTAAGATTTGTATGCATTCATCATCTCCCCAGTCATGTAATACCCACTAATATTCACCATTAGGTAATGCAAAAAAGTTTATAGAAATTGAGAACAATAAACAGGTGTATCCAAAGAATGTAATAAAGTTAAAAGCACTTTAAAGATATTGTACGCATAAAAAAGCTGCCTGAGCACTCCTTGAAATTCATTAAAAGTGACTGCTTACTGTTATAAGCTTGTCAAGATGTAATCATTGTACCTTTTGATAAGTTTTGGACATAAGAATTGGAAAATTCCAAACAAAAAAGTATAAAGTTTTTTCAAGTGAAAATGGTATTTTAAAATTAGAGTTGTGTTTAGATATGAATATAATTTTGGGTTGTTTTTGAAGTTTTGTGAGTGATCTGAGTGAAAATTTGAAAAATAACTTTTTGGTGTTTTTTCAAATTTTTTAAAAATTCTAAAATTAATCTTCAATTATAAATTAAAAATTTTATGGTCACACATTGATTTCGAAAAAAAAAAAATCCAACAAAAGTACAAAGATTCCCTCTCTTTTTCTTGACTTAGTTGCAAAGTACACTGAATTACATATCTATGTCCTTATCTAACTACTTTCTTTCCATATATATCATATGACTTTAAAGGTTTTTTAATACTTACTTCCTCCGGTTCACAATAAGTGTCCAATTTATTTTTAGCACGCCCATTAAGGAAATACTAAATTCTATACAAAAACACCTACCATGACTAAAGTACCCCTAATTAAATATTTAATGTGAGGAGTAAGAAAACTTTTTAGGGATATGTACATAGGGGTTATTTTGTAAAAACAAATTGAATTCTTTATTGATTACATAACTGGACACTTATTTTGAACCAAAATGAAAAAGTAAATTGGACACTTATTGTGAACCGGAGGAAGTATTAGGAAAGACATCTAATAATTAACCATCAATCATAAGAATATGTGTCTAAACCAAACCACCCTTTATCTCTCCTTTAGAGGTTTCACTAAATTACATTCAACAAATTGGAGCAGAAAGAACAAATCTGGAAAAGATAATAATACTACCCCTCTGTTTATGGCATAACTTGACTGGGTCGGAGTATAAAACAGAAATGAATAATTTTGAAATTTATGGTTTAAATTTAACATAGCAGTATTTGTGTGGCTATATAATATTAAACATGTCATAATATTTATTGTGGCCATAAAAGCTTAGTCCTAAAGGTAAACGGGAAGTTCGTTGAAGTCTTTCAGAAATTTGAAAAAGGTGTTGTTCAAGGAAATATAGCCATCCTTTTTTGGAACGAAGGAAGTAAATGACTTTTTGTTATTCTAAAATGACAAATATTTTGAAACAAATGATAGGAAGTTGTATAACTAGTTAATTACCATGAGGAAAGCCGCATCAGCTTTAGGAACATAGTCAAACATGTCGCCTCCAACATGCTGAACGCTATTAGAATGAGGAGCAACAGAGGCAACATGAGGGAGATCAAAGTTAATCCCTTTAATCCATGGAAAAGCCTCAACCAATATTCTAAGAGCTGTTCCATCACCTCCACCAACATCCACCAATGAGCTGATCCCTTTGAATATCTCTGGGCAACCATTGATAATTGCTGATACAGACACCCTCGCATCACATGCCATTGCTTTATTTAAGAGGTTGTTGTACCCAGGATCTGTTTCTGCGAACTTCCAAACATCCTTCCCATGAGCTGCGTCAAATGCCGGTACTGTATTCTCCTTTGACAAAACACGAGCACTAAGATTATGCCACGGTGCTAGCATCACCGGGCTGCTTTCAAATAGCACGAAAGCAGCCATGCTATTTCCGCCTTCTTTTCTTAGAAGGCGGGAAAGGGGTGTTTGAACATAACTGATTTCGCCATTTCCGGTTGATGTCTCCTTAAATATTCCACGATTGATCAAGAACCTGCTCGAAATTTGAAGAAAACATTAAACGAAAGAGATACTAAAACAATACAGAATATTTGGGGTTTAGGAATAACAGACAGCAATCTTTGGGGATATGATAAGCCTAAAAGTTACTGTCGTAATTTTTGTCTGCTCTTATATTCCCTTCCAAGCACATCATTATTTATTGAACATAGTTTGAAGGTTGAAAATTGATTTTCGAATGGTATCCTTTTGATTGTTAACAACTTCACATATTACAACTATCTAACAATACCTCAGGACGCGATAGAGGGAAGAGGAGCAGCAGCCAAGTGCAACAGATAGTTGGTTTAAGCTAACAGGTTGTTGACTGCTTTCCAAGAAATCAGCGATTCCCAACTCAATGGCACATTTTACGACAGCCATTTCTGTGAAACCGAACACATACTTCCAAATATCTGCTTGGGCTTGAGAATCTTGGTTTTCTTCACGTGTTCTTGCTTCTCGGTTTGTTTCTTTCGCCATCTGTTTCTTCCTTTTACCGAAGCTTATCAAAGTTTTAAATGTTTTTTTTTTCAATTCCTCGTAATACTTCCATGGGCTGATTCAGCTATTTATAGCTTTGATAGTTCTTCAATTACTTTAATATTTCACCATAAGATGTCCTTGTAATATTGTAGCCCAGTTACAAGTTTACAAATATTTTTTTTACACATTTGTTTCGCTATATGCGTCTATCAAGGTTGAAAATATTGTATATTCACTACTAGAAATTCGCTAAATACCGACCAGAAAAACCGACCAACTTTGGTCGGTTATGGACAATTACCGACCAAAACGCGGTCAAATACGCTTGAACGGTATTTTGATGGTCGTTTTAATATACCGATCAACGTTGGTCGGTAAATTAAAACGACCATCTGAAGAATTTAAATGATTTACCGACCAACTTTGGTCGGAAATATATTTTATTAATTTAATTTTACCGAACAAAGTTGGTCGGTGTATTTAATTTATGTTTTATTTATTAATTATTAAAATTAAAAAAATGACCAACTTTGGTCGGTAACTGAATATATATATATATATATATATATTTAAAAAATAATTAAAATTTAGCATTACCGACCAACGTTGGTCGGTAGCCTCAACAGTGCAGGTAACATACCGACCAAAGTTGATCGGTAATGTTGAATTCTAGGAATTCATTGTTCATTAACCGACCAACTTTGGTCGGTAATAGTAAATTAATTAATTTTTTTTTAATAAATACTGACCAACTTTGGTCCGTAATATGCAATTATTTTGTTTTTATTAAAAATCGACCAACTTTGGTCGGTTTTTCTGTGTTTAATTTTGGCATAAAATGCCTATTTTGGTAGTTACACCATCTGCCAACATACCAATACAACAACAACAACAACACAACAACAACAACAACAACTACAACAACATTCGATAAATACTTTAAAACTAACAAATTAAAGTTCAATTGAACTTAACAATCCAAAACCAAGTTAAAACTAATTACAACAAGTTCAAAACTGGTTCTATTTGTCTAGTTCAAAGAATATAAAAGTCAAGGTGTGTTTTGTACAACATCATTATCACCGTCTGATGAACTTTCATCTACAAGGCGGTGTTGATACCCAATTTTTCCCTGTATATTTTTTATATGCAAAATACTTTCAAAATAACATATGTCTGCATATATATGTGTGTCCAAATATTTTAGTATTTTTTCCTAATTTTAAAGGATTTGTAATCAATTTATTGCCCTATTTTAGCTATACAAAAATCAATAATTATTTTCCAAATGATTATTTTTGTGATTCATTTATTTTATTTTCATATTTATACCAAAATATAGCTAAGGTAATTTTTACACATTTTTTACAAATTTATTTAGTATTTTAAGGCTAAATTGCATATAATTGCAATATTAGCCTGTTTTAAGAATTAATTGCGTTTATAATTATAAATTTGATTCCAGTATTTTTTACTTAATACATATGTATTATTAATAAATTTAGTACCTTTAATTTGTTTTTGGAAATCATTTTACTATTTTTATAAAATAAAAAGGGAAAAAGTGGCTATTTAAAATCTAGCCCTATTTATTTCAATTTTAGCCCAAATCGACCACCCCAATTAACCCAATTTCAATCTCAATCGGACCGGCCCAATTCCTAAGCTACCCGCCCATGACCCAATTTAATCCAACCCGCCCCGGCTCCCCAATAAATCCAGGCCGTTGATCAAAATGATCAACGACCACGATCCTTCCATTCCTTTTTTAATCCACCAACACCCCTTAACCCTAAATCATTTTCACCTAACCAGCCGCCTTTGAATCCCTTCACCCCCTGAAACTCTCTCGAACCTTCTCTGAACCCTAATCGTCCTACCATCTCCCACCGTGAAACCCACCGGAATCCATGGCTTCTCAGGCTGTGGGAGTCCTACACTCACCTCCTATTGCTCCTATGTGCTTGATACCTGAAGATTCGAGGCCTGACTTCGAAGGTTTTCATCCAGACCTCTATCGATTCAAGGTTCTCTGGTCAATCTCCGGCCTTGCTCCAGCGTACTATTGTTGTTTGAGCCTGTTTCTAACCTCTCCAACTCAGATCGGTGACCTTTCAAAGCCTTTCTCGTTTCTAGGGTTCTTCTGAAATCCTAACTCTCCGAGGTTTTCTCCTATTTCTTTAGATTGTATATTTGTGCTCTCCTTGAGTTTTTCAAACGATTTCCCTAACTTTTCTTTCGAAAATTACTTTTTTTTAAAATCTTTCTTTCCGATCTAGGGTTTTTCGAAAAAATGTTTAAGTGTTTCACTGACTTTCTTTTTCTTTTGTGTATTTACCTCTACTGTGCTCCTATGTTTTTATCTACCACGTTCTTGTATATCTGTTCTTGTATGTTCTTCTACAGAGTTTCATACTCCATTCTTGTATGTGTTTTATACGCTCCATGCTTGTAGGTTCCGCTACCATATTTTTCGTACTGTGTTCTCATATGCTTTTCTATTATATTCTTCTTCTACTATGTTCCAGCATGTTTCTCCTATTGTACTTTCCTGCTAAGTTCTTAAGTTTCCTTACTTTCCTTCTACTAAGCCCTGTTTAATTTTCTTCTGAAAAACTTCTTAAGCATGTTCACTGCTCCTATCAGTGTTTTCCTCTATTTTTCTTCGAGTGCTTCTACTGTGTTCTGCCTGTTTCCTTGATCATGTTTTCTCATGAGTTTTGCTATTGATAGAAGCATGCAAGAGGTTTCAGTTCTTCTCTGAAACCTCTGAGCCTACTTCGACCACTTGTTTTCTCATCAATGTACTTGATTGAAGGCGGAAACCCCAAAATTTAGGGTTCTGCCAGGTTTGATCATATATTTGATTGAACTAGGGTTTTATTTTAGAACCCCTAACTCTTCGAGTCTTTGAATTGATTTTCGGCTTCATTGTGATTTTGACCTTTTTACTAAAACTCTTCTGCACTGGATTTCTCTATAGATTTTACAGTAACATGCCAGTCTTCTTTCATGCTCACATGCTCTTTATATATGATGAATTTCCCTCTAAATGGTTTTCGAATTTGCAATTAGTTCAAGCTTCCTTCTGAATATAGCCTGATTGATTTATTTCCATTGTTTTCTGATTTTTCTCTGTTACTCGACCTAAGTAAAACCCTTTTCCATCTTTCTGACTTGGTTCATTCATACAAAATCTCGGACCCTTTTGATTTACTGGTTTTTAATTGATCTCCTTACCTTATTTGCACAAACCGTGTACTGTCAAAACCTCGTCCTTAAATAACTTTTATGTACTCACCCCTAATTGCCTACTTTGCACAAAGTGTTTGATTAATTTCTTTCCTTAATTGGTTTATACCCGTTTGAATCTGAATCCCTTAATTAAAGCGAGTCCTGTGTATTTGATTGACAATCAGTTCTTCAATTATTCTCTTACCTTATTTCCTCATGACTTTCAGACTATAAATACACGACTCTTTAACACACAGCACAGACGATTTTAACAATCCTCCACTATTACTTTACAATCTCCTCTGAACTCTTACTAGCACTCTCTTCTTTTCTATTCCGTGGCTTTCACAAGACTACTGCACTTTCTCTTTGTTTGTTTCCTTTGAAACTACTTTACTACTTTTGAATTAAATACTTAAACTAGCATGTTGTTTTCTTTTGCTTGTTTCTGTTATGAACCCCTCCTCCCTATTCCCTTTATGTGCTGTGAGTTGCAGTTTAAAACGTGGCAATATGCAAGTTATTGTCTATGGTTTGAACTTGATCCCTTAAAGGATCCTAACTTCTAAACAATGTATTCTAACAGGCTTATGGGATAGGCTAGCATTCCTCATTGCTAAGTATGCCCCACCAGCCTATTGTTGCTTTTACTTTACTATCTCCCCATTTCCCTATACCCCTATGTGTATCAATGTGAACTGTTTCCCTTTCCCTTTTCCCTTTCCTTTTCCCTTTCCCCCTTATAGATCCTGCACTTGCACTCTCTCTTAGTTCCTAGGTTATTCCCCCCTCCTGTGAGCCTTGCCTTGGGACCCTGAGTTCCCTCTAAACTTGGACACTTGAGGGTTGGCTCTTACACACTGCACTATGTCCTAGTCTGGTAATGTATTTGGGGTGTAAGCACTGACCGGGGTTCATGTGAGGCTCTTAGGGAACTCTGACACACCCCCAAATGAGAGAAAGGCTTTGAAAGCTGATCTTTGGAGTTGGTTTACTTCATACTTCAGACAGGAAGTCTGAATCAGACTCTCCTTGGTTGTAATTTTCAATTTTTGATGTACTTTCTTTATTTTCTTTGGATTGTAATAACTTTGTAATAAACTTTCAGGGATGGTTAGTGAAAAGGGAGGGGTAACCATGCATATAAAAAGGGTAGATAACTTGCCTATAGGAATCTCTAATTTCAGCATTTTTCATATAGCTACCATGCCTATAAAATTTCTGCATATTTCATATAGCTACCATGCCTATAAGATTTCTGCATTTTTCATATAGCTACCATACCTATAAGGACTTCTGCATTCCCATTTAGTTACCATGTCTATAAGAATTTCACCATTCTCATTTAGATGCCATGACTATAGGGGTCCTGCACTTTCATGTAGATATTATGTCTATAGCTTCTGCACACGCATGTAGAAAATATGCCTATAGGTCCCTTCTGATTCTTGCATACCCCCTTTTCACTAGGCAAACTTCTTTATAGGTCCTACTAACCAAAAGGGGCAATCAGATGTCACGTTCGTAATAAAATGTAACACCTAGATATCATGTTGTAGGTTTTCTGCATTTTTTATATTTATAAAAGTGTTTAGAATCAACAACGCGTAGAAAGCATGCCTATAGGAACTATTAGCCAAGTCTGAAACGTTTCCACTCGCTTATGATTCTAAAACCAGTAATAATGCTTGCAGAACCTGTAACTTTTGCTAAAGTTTGCTTTTCTTTTATAATCTGGTAGCCCCTCTTATTCAGTATGTATTCAATCTATTTGATTCTTGTTTCTGAAATCTGTAGATATCATGCCCATAGGCTTCGTCTATCACTTAGGCAAACTGTAGGATGAATTTTTATAAGCTGAATCAGATCTTATTAGCTACAACCA